CAACAATCTTATCATAAGCTCTATGTGTGTCATTGACTGTATTTGAAATTTAAACATAAATTTGCTTGAAATTTATGTGCCAACACTAACTGAAATCAACATCGAGATAGTTTAAAGGGGTCATGCCGGACCGATGTAGACAACTGGATGTTCAACCAGTAAGCGTGGCATACATATAACTTATGACATGGTGCTAAATGATGATGACAATAGATGATTGAGTGCGCCAAGGGGCAGCTTATTAGAAAGCGCACCAAAGGGGGTGACTTGGTTTGTGCGCCAGATGGGGTGGCTTAGGTGGTTCACATGGTATATCACCATGCTCACCATGATATAGGTATAATACTCCTCTCAAACTCAAATAGGTTTGAAGATAGAAACATATTTGATGTTGAAATAAAGGGAAAGACAAAGTGGAATAAACTAGTGGATAGAGGAAGAGATCACCACGAAGTGATACTGAAAGAAAATATGGGAGTGGAATGGGTTGAGGTCCGGTGGGTGGCCAAGGCAAGGTTGTCGCCCGCCGGTGAAGCAAAATTACTAGGTACTTAACCTAACTCTGATACCAAAAAGAATGAAGAGAATTATTTGGCTTACCCATGAATGAAGTAGAGACAATGTATATATAATAGATTCATGATACAATTTAGAAAACGATATAAATAAGGAAACGATATAAATAAGGAAACAATACTAAATCAGTGATTGACACAATCACTGATTATAGGGGATTTTTTTTTAGGGTCTCGGGTATTAAGATTTTATAGCATAAAGAATATCTAATATTTTTATAATGTCTAAGGCCCCTTAACATTGATCTAGAGAAATTCTGAACTTCCTAAAGAATTTCTCTCCAAAGAAATTTGGGAATTGGATAGAGCTTAGATTGACAAAGATTAATTGAATTTCTCTGGAATCACTCCTTCAAACCCCCCCATCACCACCACCCTCATCTTCATCTCTCTTCTCTGGCTTTCCAGAGAAATTCTCTGGATTTCAGAGAAAATTATGGAATTGAGGTCAATTCAGAAGCGAACCCTACACAAAAATTAATTACTTGGCCCCAATTATCAAAATTGGATAGAGCTTAAATTGAAAAAGATGAAGTGAATTTCTCTGGAACCCACTCCTTCAAAACCCACCACCACTACCCTCATCTTCATCTCTCTCCTCTGGCTTTCCAAAGAAATTCTCTGGATTTTAGAAAAAATTATGAAATTGAGGTCGATTCAGAAGCGAACCCACACAAATTAATTACTTGCCCCAATTATCAAAATTGGATGAAGCTTAGATTGAAAAAGATGAAGTGAATTTCTTTGGAACCCACTCCTTCAAAGTCCACCACCACCACCAACCCCCTCCTCTTCATCTCTCTTCTGGCTTTCCAGAGAATGTCTGGATTTCAGAGGTCAATTTTGTAGCATAAAGGACTCCCAAATCAGCAATAACACCCAATTTATGAATCAAAAATATGAATATGAATATACATGCTATATATATCATCATCACTAAGAACGTGAAATATACATATATATATCAAAAACCCATTTGGAAAACAAATTAATCAGATAAAAAATTTGATATTAACTTGAAATGTTTGCTCTTTGTAGGAGCCAGGGGAGTACTGTGGGGCTCTGTAACCACCATCATTGAATCCCCAAGTTCTTGCCACAGTGAGGCCATGATTTGAAGCTTGTTGAAAAGCAGAGGACACTTTGTCTCTATGAGTTGGGTCAGTAGGCATTGAACCCATTTGCATTGATGAGGACAAATATCTTGCTCTTGTTCCGATACATTGACAAAGTCTCTGCGGCCTTTGTCAGATCTACGGAGGTCCCCTTGAGCGAGGTATGGACCGACGGAGGCAGATTATCCGGCGAGGAAGAAGACCAAACTTTGAAATCTTGAATTCGAAGATAGGTAGAGAGCTTCAATGGCGCTTCAATCAGTCTCTGTGTTCTCTCTAGGATTGCAGTATGACAATTGGAGGGAGATCTATGGGAGTGGGTGAGGGACTTTAGACATCACAAAATAATATTGTGGACCTCTCCCATTAATCTTAGACTAATTTTCTTCAGATTATATACATGATACTAAAAATAAAAAGATTCTGTGTACTCTAATTTCTATATTTAACAGTATTAATGATAATACCAAAATCCACCAACATGGAAGCCTTGTTATTGATTTGGTGTCCAATGCAAGGGTTCTTTGATGAGCATCGTTTTATATGCAATTTGCAGGAACATCCCGAGTGGGAGATAAAGAATGGGTTTGTGATTTTCCAAAAGGCAAAAGAATCTGCACCTTGCAAGGACATACCATCTCTGCAACTCATCAATCAGACACTCAGTTATGCAAGGGAGTTGGAGCGGGTAGTGTGAAAGATATGCTGCCCGATGTTGTCAAGCTACTACCATTCTATGGTCCAACTTCCTGATGCTAAACTTGTGTTTTGCTGAATTTTTTCCTGATGCTAGGATCACTTTTTGTAGTTAAATTTGTTGACTGTCTGCAGTGCGCATTCGGAGCATTTTGTTTTGGCTTCCCCACAATTGAATACTTGATTTCTTTTTCTTTCTTATCATTTACGAAACACAGTTTATTTTAATTGCAATCGTGTAAGGAGAACAAGAAAATTAAACTGAATGGCTGATTGGATTAAGAATCCTCTCTCTCTCTCTCTCTCTCTCTCTCTCTCTCTCTCTCTCTCTCACGATGTATGGAGCACATTGTTCAAGTAGTGTTAGTGATGCAATGTTTGTGAGTTCAATTTCAATTTTTTGCGTGATTAAGCTTTAGTAATAACCAACTTCACTTGATTAAGCTTATAATATGTGTTTTACAACTAGGGATTTTTTTTTGTGTACCAATTATTATGTGGTCCTAAGTTTTTGTATTTAAAACTTAGAAATGAATCGATCTTTTTTCCAAGAATGCTTGGTTACGAGGAGTGTAACCAACAGTAAGTGGGCTTGATTGGAGAACCGACAAATTTTGTGTATGTATTACTGTATAAATTGTAATTAGCTTCACATAAACATAGATCAGTCTAATGCTAGCCCAGAATGGTTGTGTAAATTTTAGATGTTTTGAGTTATTTTACAATGACTATTTGCAAATTATGATTTTAAAATTAAAATATATTTACCATGGTTGTGTAAATCTTAGACAAGCCTTTTTTCTTGTTTTGGTATTAATTTTTATTTTATTTTATTTATGTTGTTAATATTTTATTTGAAATAGTTTAAAGTTTTTCTCAAGTGTAGTTTGAATTTGAGAGAACTTGAGGGCCTGTGGGCCTCATCAAGTGTTTCATCATTTTATAAGACTGTTAGTGTGTATCATCTATGGAAAAAAATGAGATTGATCCAATAATTGTAGCCATTTTATTTTATGGTGTTCGTTTACCAAAAGTGAATGATTTATTTTAAAAAATATACTTGTCTATTTTTTTTTAAGACAAACGAGATAAAATGAATAGGTTACGATTATTGAATTGATATAAACATTTTTATAGGTGATAAAAATCAAGGGCTTTACAAAATGAACAGTTCGAAACAATGAAGCAGAACCTCAAGTTCAAAGCTTAACTTTTTATTTGATAATAAAGAGACGGACCTCAAGTTCAAAGCCTAATTTTTTATTTGATAATTAAGAGTCGGTTATATGGCTGAATGAGTTCTTATACAGAAAAATGATGTATTTGACACTATTGACAATTGAATTATTATGTAACGATTCCAAAAATAAATATCATCCAATGCAATTGTAAAAGTTTATGTTCTTTTTTCTTTTTCTTTTTTTCAAGACAACAATATAATAGTTTTACAGTTTATTTAAAGTTTGAAATTTTTGAATGTTTAGTTTATTTATTTTTGTAATCGAATTTGTTTAACATACATGTAAGGTGACTCATTTATAAAAAAATTTGGAGTTGTAACTAAATCTGCTAAATGATTATGATGACAGATTGTTAATCATTGGCCGGTGAAGTCTAATTATTGTTCTATTTTGATCAGATAATATTATCGTTATTATAATTGGGGTGATTAATATATACAAATTTATAGATGAATGTAATAAAGTGATATTCGCTAATAATGAAAAGTCTCTGTGTAATTACCCTATTAAAAATTAAAAACTAAGGAATGAGTAAAATATAATTGTGCTGAATTTAAAATATTTAATGTGTCTTTTTTTTTAAAAAAAAACTAAGAGAAAAGAAATTAGTATAATTAACCCAAATACTATTTACAACACTGCTATATCTGCTGAATTTGTTTAGTCTGAATTCATCCGAATGAGTCTCTTTTCGGGAAGAATCTCCCAATTCTGGAAAGAGACTCCTTTAGACAAATTCAAGATAAACAAGATTCTTCCTAAAAAGAGACTCATTCCGACTTAGGCTAAACAAATTTGATGGATAAATCATTATGAGAAAAGTGGAAAAGAGTTGGTGAGGAGAAAATAGCCTTTTTAAACGTGTTTGATACAATTTATTATATATAAAAAGTTAAAAATTTGAAAGTATATCAAAAATATTCTTCTCTTAACTTTTAAATAATTAGTTTATTATAATTGATTTAAGTTATTTTTTACCCAACAAATTAGAAGCAAAAGTTACAACAAACCGATTGACATAAATTTAAAAAATCAAATAAGTTATAAGTTGCTCGGTTAATTAATCTGAGCCAAACAGCCCCTTTGAAGTCTGTACATTTCCTCAATGTGGTTTGTAGGGACAGATTGAGGACTTTGTTTAAAAAGTACATATGAGATAACCATTTGAACCTTATTAGAACCCGAGATTTTTTTTTTTTGTTTTTTTGAGGACTTTAATTTTGAAAAGGACATATGGCATGACCATTTGACCCTTATTAGAACCCTTCCAGCCCCAATAGATAAAAGAGAGGAGGGATGGCATAGTGATAACCCTTCGATTCGAACCTACCTTGAACCCCATAATAATATATTAGTGGCTCGGAAAAAAAAGAAGGGGGAAATAATTTGTCGGTCCTCTTTCTTGGTTATCTATATAAATTGTCGGTCCCCTGATAAGTTATTCTCAGAAAATGGCCGAATCTGATGGAAGAGTAGCAGCATATTTCCCTGACGATTTCAAGCAATATGTGGACACTCAACTCAACCGCTGCCCAGTGTGGCGTAATAGCTTTTATGGATGGGTTTTCTGGAGCCGAAAAGACGACCAATCTGAACATCCTCCGAGTGAGTGCGACTTTTATGTCTCTTCTCTTCTTCTTCTTCCTCCTCCTCCTTTGACCATGGCTTTTATTTATTTAATTTGTAATCATGGAGTTTTATTTATAACTCAATTTTAATTCAACACAGTTACCTACTACCTGCTTTTCAAATCTCACTTCTCTCCTCCAATTTTGTTTGTTTGTTTGTTTTTTTTTTTTTTTTTAAAAAAAAAAAAAATTATTTATCAGATGTTTTGGATTTAAAAAAGAAGATCAAAGATGTCTTGCGAAGGTGTTTACTCGATGGGTTTGTACGCCCAATACTATATCAATTTTGGGCACCCAAAATGACAATGGATGGCCGGTCTTATCTTACAACTCAAAACCAACCTTTCGCTCTTTCTACATATGATCAGTTGTGTGATGATGTTAAAGGACCTGTTAAAGGGGTTTGTGGGTATAGGATGATCTCTATGGACTATAAATTTTACATGGATAGAGAGAGTTCTGATGAACAACTTGGGGTTCCTGGCCGTGTGTTCAAGCACGGATTTCACGAATACTCTCCCAATGTAGAATATTACTCTATCAAAGAGTATCCATTGCGCCACCATGCTTTCCGTTGCCAAGTTGAACAATCTTGGGCTATCCCACTGTTTGATCCTTCTATCCACTTATGTGTTGGTGTACTTGAGGTAGTTTCAACAACGCCCTCAAAGGAATTTCTGTTGTACTACAGCCTCTTGTGGCCGGATTTCCGTTTTTTTTTTGAGGTTGGTCCCCCAACTCACAAATTGGCATTTTTTATCTCTTTCTAATCCTGGTTGATTCATTTATATGTTTGCAGAATTGTGCTCCTTGGATAATTTAAATTTAAAAAAAAAAATTATCAAAAAAAATAGATGAGAAGTGTGTTTTTAATAGGGTAAATTACAAAAATATAGTTTGTTTAAAATATAGATTACTCCATGTAATTCTGAAAAGTACATCACGCCTCTTCAATTTTTAGTTGTATAACAAATGATTCATTTTATTAATAAATCATCAACGGTTGGAACATGGCTCCGTGCTCCTCATGTGTCTATTCTGCATAAAATTCATAGTTTATTAGACCAACTAAACACAAATTACAAAAATTAAAGCGCTAATCTTTTGTAATCAAAATTAATCAAACTAAAAAAATTAATATAGGATGAAGCTAGATGGACCATTAGCACAACTATTATTTGTTCATTTTTTTCATCTTGTCAGTGCTGAATGGCATGTGAGGAGTATGTGATTGCGTTATTTCCTCACGGTTGTTATCAATATCAATGGGACACAAAATGTAAAATTAAATGGTAAATTGTGATGATTAAAATTATAAGATCCCAAAAGATACAATGAAGAAACTATTGAATTGAGGATAAGATAGTGTGTTGTTTATATTCTCAGCATGAGCTTCTATGGTAGAAAGAAAGAAAGCAAAGCAAAGCAAAGCAAAACGTCAAGTTGAATTTTTTATTTGCATTCCGTGCTCATTTAGCTGTGACTGAATTGTTTTTCCATTATAGAGTCTCTTATATGCTTCCTTTTCTTGGCAAACAAATATTCTACATTTCAAAGTGTACAAGATTCCTTAGACGCATCTTTCCATTTCCCTGCAGGAGGTAGGTCTGGAATCTACAATTTCAGAGGCAGACCATCCCACGGATTTAGTAAGTGGTACACTGTAATGTAATGTCAAATTTAGTATTTTATTTTATTTTTTAAATTAATATGATGAGGAATATCTTCTGACAATACTTGGACGTGACAATACTTTTCAACCAGAATGTGAGACAAATTGAAGCCTTAGATGAAATCGACAAGGTGTTGAAAGTTGTGCATGAAGATCATGATTTACCTTTGGCTCAAGCATGGGTCCCGTGCGAGGTTGACTGTACATACAGGGCTCTGGTTAAGGGTGACATTTTCCATGTGATTCGCAATTTCATGTACAGATTAGGGTACTGCAAATTCTTGGCGGCCAACAGAAAATCTCACTTAAGAAAGTGGCAAGGAGTTGTTGGGAGAGCATTCTCGTCCCCTGATGTATTATTTTGCAAGGATGTAACCCAACTTAGCATAATTGACTACCCATTGGCACACTTTGCACGGGTTGAAGAATTAGGTGGTTGTTTCGCAATATGCTTGCAAAGTAGTTGCACCGGAAATGACATTTACGTGTTAGAGTGCTTCATGCCGCCAAGCCACAAAGACTATGGTAATCAACAGACTGCATTGAGGAAAATATTGGAAACTATGAAGAAAAATTTCTGAACTTTTAAGCTTGCTTCTGGAGAAGAACTTGGGGAACATTTATATATTGAAGAAATTCCTTTTCAGAATGGTGAGAAACTTGATTCTGTTCAAATGTCCCAGACTACTAAATCTGTGCCTAGGCTGGAGCCCTTACAAAGTGGGGGAGAGATGACACAACTGGATTTATCGAATCAACAATCAATGGATGCATTAAACAATGAAAGCAATGTCGTAAGTGCGGAAAGAAGCAACATTGATGTTACTTGTTCACAGGAAAAAGGCAAAACAAAGAGGCCAAAAAGAGTGCACAATAAAAATGGAGTTAAAATTGAAATTCCTTTAGATGATATCTTACAAAATTCAAAAAAGAGCATCCAGGCTGCTGCCGATAATCTCAAAGGTATCTGTACTCTTAACAAATTAAAATAAAAGATTGCGTGTGATTTTACTTATTATTTTCAACTCGACACTCTTCTCGTAAAGAAATATTTGACATTTTGCACCAACAAACATAAAGTTGTGTCTCTTAGCTAGATTCTTCCTTTTGCAGTTAGTCGATCTACACTAAAGCGTGTTTGTAGGAGTTATGGTTTCCCGAGGTGGCCACCACGCAAGAAGAATATGGTTGGTCAATCTCAGCCTAGTGAATTTTCCCGGGGTGTTGATCATCAACAAATATCACAATTAAGTTTTGATCTGCCTTTCAATCAAGCCTCAGCTACTGTTGTTCATGCAAATCCACATAATATAGCAATCGAAGATGCAAATATTGTGACCATGAGGGCAAAATATATAAATAATATTACAATAAAGTTTCGGCTATCTTTGTCACCAGGACAGGTTGAGTTGCAGCAACAAATAGCTAAGAGGCTGCACTTAGAAGCTGGAAGTTATAATGTCAAGTATAAAGATGAGGAAGATCACGTGATTTTAATAGCTTGCGATGATGACTTGCAGGATTGTATTAGCACTTACAGATTGCTGGGAACTTCCATCGTGGTATTGATTGATCCAAAGTAGTCAATTACCACTGACCAACTTGAATCATCTCAGTTTTTTTGGTTGCTGCTATATTTTCTTTTGTTCTATCTTTTGATTCTAGAGACAGTTGTTGGACTATCATGCCTTGTTTCCTCTGTTTCAGGAAGGTGGGGAGTGTTTTGGGTTTTTTTGGTTTCCTCTTGGCAGTTGGATTCTGGCCAACTGTTTCATTCTCCCCTTTTGTAATGTTGTATTAGCATTAATAAAATGTTACTTTCTTTGCTGATCAAAAAAAAAAAAAATCTTTCACTTCATCAGAATGAACCTCAAATGATGCAGTTATTTCCTGTTTATATGGAAAATGCATTATAGCAGAAGTGTTCGTTGACTCCATCATCAACATTTAGGATAAAAATGAAAGGCAGGATACAAAAGCCCTATAAAAGTTCAAACTCAATTAAATGCAAAGGCAAAACATATGATTCTTTGAAGCACAAAAACAATTTAAATCAATTATGGTTGAGATCAAAGCTTGTAAAAAAAATTTAGGATAAATTATGTTGGGTATGCAGACAACCTTCAGTAGAAAGCCCAAGCCAGGGGGCGGGGCCCTCGCAATAGAATTTTTTCCAGGCCTGTTTGGCTATTTTTAGCCCATAGACTTTTACCTTATATAATGTAACAGTGTTTATACATTTTAGGGTTAGAGAGAAAAGAGATACTGCTGCCGTTTTTTAGTGCGAGGGAGAAGAAGAGTGTTTGTAATTCTATACTCAACATAGTGAATTGGCGTGGCTCCTGAGAATATAGGCACGTTGTCGAACTTCGTATATCTGTGTGTTTTGTCTATTTATTTTTTCTGTGATTCATAATTTCCAAGATTCATAGGGTTTAGGAGTTGAACACGTAGTTTAAATCCTAACAAAATACACTAACCTCTCCTAAGTTTTGGAGAAAATATAGCAAGTCCTACAAGTTTGGTATAATTATACTGGACTCCTTTATGGTTTTAATTCATCACTCTTACCCCTTTTTTCATAAGAAATTCATTAGTCGTATAAATAAAAAAATGTTGTCTTCATCTCTCTTACATTAAAACGTATATTTCACATTGTATATCTTTTTGCCTTTATACCATCTGCATTAATTTTGGTCTCTTTAATTTACTAAAAAGGAGGTCAGTGTAATTATTTTAAGAAACCTCTATCCAAAAATTAAATTAGAGTTAGAGCTTGTAAAAACATTTTTTCAATTAAAAAAATCATTCAAATTAAAAATAACATTTAATATTACAAACTATTAATAAATCCAACACCTCTCACTCAAAAATAAATGTTCAGAACTTGCATAGAGTACCACTGTTAACAAAAAAAAAATGCTATGCATTATGAAAATATAATCTAAATTTTATTATGAAAAGTGAGTGTACGGAGTAAATTTAAAATTAGTGGGATATAGATCACACTCAGAATAAATGTAATTTATTGATTCAGTTTTTTAGGTAATTTTTTTATGAGTTTATAGTATTATTGTATATTAATTATAGGATCTTGTATTACAATATATGTCTCTTAGTGTGTGTGTGTGTGTGTGTTTGGGGGGGGGGGGGGGGGGAGAATTTTATGATACACACCCCTCCAAGAATGTGTACCATATGCACCCTATCACAAATTAGTATAATTTTATAAAATTTCGTAACATCAATCACAAAATGTGTAACATCCTCACAAATTGACGTAACAAAAAATATTGTAACCAAATCACAAACTTTTGTTACATGAACCACTAAATTTTGAACATTTTATTATTTTAATTTATGACGAGATTACGTATTTTATAATTGATATTACGAATTTTTATGATAATATTATACCAATTTATAATAGAGTACATATGATAGATACCCTCGCAATTTCCCTATATGCTGAATGATCTTCACTGTGCAAACATGGCCCTGTGGATGTCACTGGAAGTATTATTATCTTTGTCATTGTACTTATTTTTTTCTCAATAGATGACAATCATAAAATAAACCATAAAGCAAATGGCAAAAACATATAAATTTAGTTTAAATGTGAAATGTCACTATGTTAGATTATCTTTAATAATATTTGGTATTTTATCTATCTAAAAGTTATTATAATGCATATACTTTATTTTACCTATCTATCTTTTTTTATGTCTGCACTCTAATCGTGCTTTTTATTTTAATTATTCATCCAAATATTACTCACTTTAAGAAATGTCACATCAGCAATAAAGATGGAGGAAAAAAATCACAAGAGTCAAAAATATTTTGCTTAACCTTTGAAGGCCAGTTTCATTTAACTAGTGAATGTAAATTGAAGTAAAATGCCTAATTATAGACCTAGTGCATTGGAGTTTAAACAAATAAATTATACTAGGCATTTTAACTAACAGATATTATGTGCCTAGTGAGTTGGAGACGCTCTGAAGAGCAACTCCAAGATTGTTATACAAAATGCCTTGTAAAATACCCAAAAAAAAGTACTCTTATTTTGAAAATTGTAAAAGTTTATGTTCTTTTTTTGAAAATTGTAAAAGTTTATGTTCTTATTTTGAAAATTGTACTCTTATTTTGCAATTGTAAAAGTTTATGTTCTTTTTTTTTTTTCAAGACAATAATATAATAGTTTTACAGTTTATTTAAAGTTTGAAAATTTTAAATATTTAGTTTATTTATTTTTGTAATAGAATTTGTTTAACGTACATGTAAGGTCACTCATTTATAAAAAAAAAAAAAATTTGGAGTTGTGACTAAATCTGCTAAATGATTATGATAACGGATTGTTAATCATTGGCCGGTGAAGTCCAATAATTGTTCTATTTTGATCGGATAATATTATACTCTCTCCGTCTCAAAATAATAGTCATTTTTGGGGAATTTAACTTTTTTTAATAGTAAAATTATTGCACTTTAAAAAAATTAATTTTCAAAATTATCCCTTGATAGTATATTTTTTTAGGGAATATCAATTGTCATAATTGTATTTTTTATATTGTTAATGATTTTAAAAGAAAGGCAAAATCAGAAATTCATATCATTTTTGTCCTTAATTTTTGAAAGAAACTAATATTTTGGAACAATAAAAAATGGAATAAGGGACTAATACTTTTGAATGGAGAGAGTAGTTATTATAGCTGATGTGGTTAATATATACGAATTTATAGATGAATGGAATAAAGTGATATTCGATAATAATGAAAAGTCTTTGTATAATTACCCTGTTAAAAATTAAAAACTAAGGAAGAGTAAAATATAATTGTGTTGAATTTAAACTTCGTTTGGCATTGGTTACGGTAGCCAACCTTTTTGTGTTGAGACTTTTTTAGCTTGATTTTTTTAGCCTCGTTTGATTTTATTTTTGGGCTTTTTTGACTTTTGTGAGAGAAAAAGTGTAATGATTATGGTTTGGATATGATATTTTATTTTATTGACTTATATAGCATATTTTGTATTTTTTTTACTTTTTTAGCCCCAAAATATTTACCAAACGAAGACTTAAAAGATTTAATGTATTTTTTTAAAAACCCAAGAGAAAATAAATCTGTGTAATCAACCCAAATATTATTTACAATATCGCTACATCTATTGAATTTGTTTAACCTCAATTCATTCAAATGAGTCTCTTTTTTAAAAGAATCTCCCGATTCTTCCCAGATAATAAGACTCATTTGGGTGAATTCGAGCCAAATAAGATTCTTTCCGAAAACAGACTTAATTGGGCGAATTCAAACTGAACAAATTTAATGGATAAATCGTTAATCTACTATTTATGAGAAAGTAAAAAAGAGTTGGTAGGGAGGAAATAGCATTTTTAGGTGTGTTAATAAGTAAGAAATTGATAACTTGAAAGCATGTTGAAAGCACTTTTTTCTTAACTTTTTGATAATCAACCTATTGTAATTGATTTAAGTTATTTTTTACCAAATAAATTAGAAGCAAAAGTTATAACAAATCGCCTGACAGAAATTTCAAAAACCAAATAAGCTATAAGGTGGTCAGTTAATTAAGCTGAGCCAAACAGCCCCTTGAAGTCGTACATTTTGACAACGCGGTTTGTAGGGAGAGCTTGATGACTTTGCTTGAAAAAGACATGTGAAATAACCATTTGAACCTTATTAGAACACTTCCAACCCCAAATGGATAACTGAGAGGAGGGATGGCATGGTGATAACCCGTTGAACTTACCTTGAACCGCATAATATATTAGTGGCTCCGGAAGGAAAATATGGGGAAATAACCTGTGCAGTGAACAGCAAAAAATAAAATAAAATAAAATTTAATTATTATAATGTATAAAATTTTTCACTGATTTGTAATTTTTTTTTTTGCTATTTCATTGGACAGTTATTTCTCAAAAAAAAAAAAAAAATTTGTATATAGGCAATGTTTGAGGATTATATTTTTTGATTAAAACAATTAATATTTTTTTAATTAATATTTTTTTAAAATAATTAATAAAATAAAATATCACATTATACATATCAATTAATTATTTTTTCTATCACAATTATAAAAACAATTTACAAAACATTCTAAATATAAATTTTGTTCATCTCACAAACTAATTAAAAAATTAAGTAAGTTCCAAACCGACCCTTAGGGTGGTCCCCTCTCTTGGTTATCTATAAATAAAGCTAATGACCCTGGTTAGAGAGGGGTTGGTTGGGTTGGGGAACTTCCCTGATAAGTAATTTTTAGAAAATGGCCGACCCAGATGATGAAGGAAGAGTAGCAGCATATTTCCCTGATGATTTCAAGCAATATGTGGACACTCAACTCAACCGCTGTCCAGTGGTGGATGATGATTATTGGAATAGATTCTGTGGATGGGTTTTCTGGAGCCGAGAAGACGACCAATCCGAACATCCTCCGAGTGAGTGGGACTTTTATTATGTCTCTTCTCTCTCTCTCTTCTTCTTCTTCCTCCTCCTTTGAATATGGCTTTTATTTATTTAATTTGTAATAATGGAGTTTTATTTATAACTCAATTTTAAATCAACACACTTACCTACTACCTGCTTTTCAAATCTCACTTCTCTCCTCCAATTTTGTTATTATTAATCAGATATTTTGGATTTGAAAAAGAAGATCAAAGATCTCCTTCGAAAGTGTTTACTCGATTTGTTTATAGATCCAGCACTACTTCAATTTTGGGCACCCACAATGACAATGGAGGGCCGGTCTTATCTTACAACTCAAAACCAACCTTTCGCTCTTTCTGCATCTGTTACAAGAATTGATGGTGTTAAAGGAGTTTGTGGGTATAGGATGATCTCTATGGACT